TGGGGGGACACCCCCCCCCCCCCCTACAGAACCTGGTTGTGTTCTGCGGTCTGCATAGTTCATGCTGTGGCTGTTCTGATGTTTTGCCAGTGCTGACGAGACTTTTATTATAGCTCTCCACTGACTGCTGGTTTTGTCAGTAAATTTCTCGCATTTTTAACAAAGACTTCTACACAAGGGAGGCGAATAGCAGCTGGCAATGGCTTTCACATACCAAAGGGTATGCACAGCCCAATCCCTTGTATTGAGTTGGGGAGAGCAGGCTGTGCCCCTAGCTATCCTGGGCTCCACTGTCCCCCCATGTGGGCAGAGGACTGGCACAGCGGGTCTTTGCACCTCGCGGTGCGGGTCTTTGGTCAAAAGGTAGATCAACACACATCCAGCAGCTGATCTCTCCTCCAAACACAAACAGAAGCGACATGAATTACATCACTTCAGGTTTCAGCCTTCTCCGGCTGCTGTGTCCGGAAAGGAAACAGATGAAGCATGACTGTGGGGTCTGAGATCTTTGCTTTGTCAGCTTCTTTTGGGTTCCATGGGTGACATTAGGGGTCTGATAGACCCCTGATGTCACCATAAAGGGGACCTGTCACATCCTTTGCTCTCACATAGGGGGTTTGTTGATATGTGCTATGCTAAAGTGTAGTAATAAAAAAAAAAATTCTAAAAAATTGGGGGGTATTGTAGCTTTTTTTGCCATTTCACAGGCTCACACAATTTTAAGACTTGTCAGAAGTATCTTCTTCCAAGTCAGAGAGACTCAACAAAATATGCAGAAGCAGCATATTGCATAAGAAGCTAACATTTTCAAGAGGGTGGTGATGGGAGCCCAGTGTTCCTTTCTATCTTGAACAATCCTTTTTACAATGTATCAAACAGTAAAGGTTTGTGGGGTGCTCTCTGCTCCGTACTGTCCTAGACACCAGGGGATCCCAGGAAATGTCCTATGTGCATCTGCTCTTTTACAGCCTCAAACTTCTTGACTATGCGAGGGTACATACTGACTTATGTACATACCTAGTCCGAGTTAGGGACTTAAAAGTATTGAGATAAGATCAGAAACAAGACTCATGCATCTATAGTTTTCAAAAGGCCAAAAGCAAGGGCAGCTCCCAGCAAAACATCATACAGAATATATCTGTGGCCAATTCATTCTGCAGATGCATCACTACACACAATCAATCAGGTGAATATAAAAGCACCAACCCCCTACACAGAACAGGGACGCAGTCGTATACTCATTCCCCATACACTTTATTCACATAAGTGGAACTACAATAATAATATCAAAGTGGTCAGAACCAGGCAGGAGTCAGAGGAAACATTATTTCATCGGGAACTCCCAGAAAATGAATCGTTTCCCCATCTCCAAACAGTTTAACACATGGCTGGAATAACTCGTGTGTCTTCTGCCAATCTGCTACCTCCGATGCTGCACTCCCTGTTGGGAGGAGTGCGTACTGCGACAAGCGTCTGCCATTCCTGGAGTCTTGATATCTGCATGTTTCACGATGCCATTTGAGGACTTTTCAGGCAGTTCAGGCTTTCATTTCAGCAGACACGTTGTAGATGGTGTCTGAATTCTCAGAGACTAGCTCCTCTGCCAAGACAAATACATAATGTAAAAATAGGACACAGAAGAGTCACTGACACACAATAATCCTGATACACACATGACATCAGATCTGTCAACAAAAACCCAAAACCCTGCAAGTTACCAAGTCAGTGTCACCAAGAATAGAAATGGCGGGCGGCACAGACTGATGAGGTTTGAGCCTATTAATATTACATATATCTAGCTAAAGCAAATGGTCTTTCCTTGTAGGTGGCCTTAGCCTGACTTCAGGTCTCTCCAAATTCCCCAAAAAACATATCTGCACCTGTAATCTGTATAGTTCTCAAGTGAAACACAAACTGATTCTCGAGTTTCACCCGGACCTGATGGGGGATCAGCTTCAATTACTTCTTTATGAGCAGGGTCAGACTGGTAGTGCATAGTAATGCTTCCCCTAAGCTAACCCCCTAATAAAATTAGTAAGCGACAGCTTTAAGGTGCCCATACACCTGCCGATTATCATACGATAATCACGGGTGATCCCACGATCGTACGATAATCGGCAGGTGTGGAAGCCGTGCGACCATTTCTACTGTACGGTCGCACGTCTTTTGTCTCCCGAGCAGGCTTGAAAACCCGCCCAGAATCGTCCTTTAAGATTGTCGGCATTCTCAGGAGACAAACGCCGAACAGGTCGGTGTGCGCAAGCGCACACTGCACGCTCAGCATTGCGGTCATCGGAAGCCCTCCCCTCAGCGAGGCGGGCTTGCGATGATCGCAAGTACAATCTGCCTGTCCAAGATGGGCAGATCGTACAAGCGTTTAAAATCACCTTACAACCATCGCACGCTGAATTCGATTACAAAATGAGTCGAACAACAATAGATTACAATCCTCCGGGGCCCGACAAGTGACATTTACCTTCCTGCGCCTTGAAGAGCCACTCAGATCCCTCTATTGCTTATTGAAGTCAGAACTCAAACCCAGCACTGTTGAGTATTCTCTTTTTAATTCCCTTTTATTTTAATGTTATATATGGTGTCTCATCTTTCTGTATTTTTTTCTTAAAGGACGATCTTTAAGATTGTTCCGCTTATCTCTACGCTGTAAATACAAACTAAAGTATCCTTGCCTCTGAAGTGAGCTACTGTATAGTGAAACCAATCATATTCCAGTGAGAGCACAGCGGTATTATAGGCTTTCTTAACCTGTATTGAATTGTCATAGCACTTGCTGGGATCGGTGCATGCTTCCCTTAAAGTACGTGGTGGCACTGAACGTTGGTGTATGAAGGGTTAACCAATCCTGGCGACGATCGCTAATCTTGCAGGGTGAAGCCGAGAGTGGTAGCGTCATGTCCTTGTGATGGCACGCTCGGTTCAGAACTGCATATAGTCACGTGTGATTGACATATGGGCCAGGCGTACGTCACACAGACAACATTGCAGCTCGCACAGCACATTTCAAGCTAAGGTTTCACACTGTTTAAAAGTAAAGCCAAATATTTTGGGCGACAGGTGTGCATATGTAACCCAAAGTCAGCAGACAGAAGTGACTGCACAGCCGCACCACAGCGAGAAAGATCCTGACAATGTTTTCTGCATCCACCCCAGCTGCCTAAATGACAGCTCCTCTGCAGCTAGCTTTTGGAGGGGCAGATGGGAGGAAAAGGAAGAGAAATCCCTGCAGGAGCAGTGTGACTAGGGCTGCAACAACTAATCGATTAAAAAAGTTGTCAACTTTTTCAATCATTGATTGATCGGCTTCCGATTGGTTGGCCCTGTTCACAGCTGCACACACGCTGCGCGCCACACTTCCTCCCCACCTCACGCTCGCCGCTGCCAGGCCCGCCCACATCCTCGATCGGCACAGGGACGCGGGGAGAAGTGAGGAGCAGTACATTGTGCTGTATATTAAACAGAGGAATACAAATCCCAGCAATACTTTATACACTGTATGAATAATGTATTGCTGGGATTTCTTATATCCCTATATAGACCGGTGGTATTCTGCATTGCGCTGTATAGAGGACTGCAAATCAAGAAATACATTATACAGTGCAATGCAGACCACCAGCTATAGGAGTACAACAAATCCCAGCAATAGTACAGCGTAATGCAGAAATATAATAAATCGGCTATCTAATCGATTTTGAAAATAATCGTAGCTGCAGCTCTAAGTGTAACAGTCACTGCTCTAAGCACAGACCAAGAGCAGACTGATCAGTGGGGCGGTGATACGTCAGCAAACAAGGCCCAATGCAGGTGAGCTGGGCAGCTGGTGACAGTATTGAGTACGGCATTACCACAACTGTCCATGTCCGATGGGAAGGTTCATCTGACTAGAATCTCCAGCAGGGTTTTCAGTTTTAGTCTTACTTGCAGAAGTGCTTACCTGGCAAAACACATTTCCACAAGCCGTATGTCTTCCCCACTGCTGTCTGCCAGAGGCGTAAAGTACCATCTTCTGATCCACTAGCATACAGTTCCCCATCTGGGCTGAAGCGCACACAATGGACCGGGCCAAAATGACCTTTGTATGATTCTGTGAAGAAAGCAATATAACTAAGCAAATATACCCCAACACACATCAGATGGATTATAGGATCTCTAGAAAGTGCAGCATTCTCAACCAGAGAAAGCAGCTTGTCAAACTCCAATTATGAGGATCTGAGGTCAGAATTATACAGATCGTCACTGCTCATCTCCTGAAAATGCCAGTTCTCTGGCCTTCACAAGTTTGGCATACCTGGTCTAGGTCAGTGACTCAGTATTTAGCTCACCGATTCAGCACGACAGCCAGGGAAATAGACACAGAATTGGTGTGGGCTAAACACATTTATAACCGGAGAAAGGTTTGCGTGTACTGCTATAAAGAAAAGCATCTTTACCGACAGCACACAGTCTGTGTCTCATGCACTTGTATTCTCTGCAGGCTGCGGCAGACCGCTTGCTGTGCCCAAACATCTCACAAATTAGAATGGTGCATACCTAGCTCCTCTCCGCTGCTGTAGTCATACTTATACAGCTTGAAGTCATCTCCTCCAGCCACGATACAGTCTTTCTCTGGATGGAGTGATGCAGAGTTGATGGGGGCCGGAGCTTCAAATGACTTGATCAGCTCTAGACTAAAAACGGGGAGAGAAAAAAAAAAGGATAAAAAAAAAAAAAGTAAGTATTTTTCTGCAAGCTTACCCATGTTTTCTGGCAGGTCAAGTGTAAAGTTTTTTTTTTTTTTCCAAAGCCAGCATTCAATATTCTTGAAGCAACTAAATGTCCAGTAATAATCCAAGCTATTCAAATCTAGAATAAAATATCAATGCGAATATTAGGGATGCACCGAAATTTCGGCCGCTGAAACATATCGGATGAAAATGGCAAAATGCCATCTTTTGGCTGAAATAGCAGAGCATCCCTGCTTTTCCTCCTGCCCACTGGGCACTGCTGTGTCCCAGCAGGGAGAAGAGAAACTGTCACAGGAGGCCGAGCGGTGCGGGGGGAAGAGAGCGCTGCGAGCGGCCGGCGTCTATCCTCCCACACCGCTCAGCCTCCTGTAAAAATAGGAGAGCGGTGGTGTGGGACAGCTGTCACAGGAGGCAAGGCCAGTGGTGCGGGGGAGGAGTCAGCTGTCAGGAGATTGAGCTCTCCTTCCCTCACCGCTCACTCAGCCTCCTGTGACACCGAGTCAGGGTGGACAGCGTGTAAAAGCAGTCAGTGATCGCTGAGTGTTTGTAAATAATTGAGGACATAGTATGTTTACTGTGTCCCCAATTATGAATGGGAAGTGATCTACATCACTTCCTGTTCATTCATGAATTGTGGACATGGTAACATACCATCTCCACATGTTATGAATGAACAGGAACACTCAGAGGATTCTTGTTCATTTAAAACAGGTTCTGCAGAAAAGAGATTGAGGGCTCTGTGTCCTCAATCTCCTTTTCTAGTTTAAAAGGGAAATATCACGGGTCTGTTTAGTAAAAGGAGAACATTTTCAGTGCACCTCTAGTGAATACACACCGACACCGCAAACCCCCAATTACATCAAAATCCCCTACAACGTGTTGGTGTATAGTCACGTATTGATATTTCGTTGTGGATTTAAATAAAGCTTGGTTTAATATTGGAGATCCTTGGAGTGCGGTGTGTTTGTTTTTTTCCCCATTTAAAATTATTGGTTTTTTTTGTGCATAGCAAACAGATAAAAGACAAAAAGCATACATTGTGATCATACATATCGCATATAACAACTCTTTACCACATACAGTGAGGTGTCACATTAATGTTAATTTCGGGCCGCTGGGATAGGCCATCGCACGATACAGTGAGGACCTCGTTTTTGCATATCTTGGTGAGTACGATCTCAATGTAACATATGAAGAACCTCATGTAAATTACATATTGCAATTGAGAGATCATGTATGCATATCGAACCGTTCGGCCAGAGGTCTAGGTCTAGCCGGAACTAAACTTGGCCGCGCTGCCCATCCTGTCCTCAGGTAGGTAAAAGCAGGATATGAGGCAACCTAAACAACATAGATAAGAACAACTAGGGTAAGTATAGTTGCAGTAAAGGAGAAAAACAGAGAAGAGGGGGTTCTTTGTGGTAAAACCACTGAGCATGGAGTGCGGTGTGTGGACATTAAATCTGTTGGGAGGTCAGAACGCACCCGTTTGACCAGCATCATTGGAGGCTCAAGAACAATTGTGGCCGGAGAATCGGAGCAGTGAGATCTCATTGAGTCTTCAACTAAAGTCATTTTAATGATCCAAGCTGTCTGTTACTATTCCTCCCTCCAACACTTGCTCTGCCCCTCACTCTCCAAATTCAGAAATTTGCCCTTCACCCAACACTTGAAATTGAACGATGTCTCCTCTCACCATCCACCGCTACAAGGAAGGGGTCATTCCGCAGCATGATCCCCTTTCAAAAATGGCTTGTCAAGGAGCTATTGCACAAAACCGAATAACCAGAGACGTCTCTACATTGGTATTTGCATCCCTTCATATACCTGGAAGAGTTGTACAACGCAATAGATCTTCCATACGTGACGAGTAGCATGTCCACATCTGGAAGGTACTCCATACTGCTGACCGATTGATTAAAGTTCAGCGTTTTCACCTCTGTCATGCTGGCTCTGTCCCATAACCTGCAATTATAAGAGTGAAATTGTTGTATCCACAACATTGGACAGGTGGAAAGCTACTAAACTGAGGAATGATCATAATACCGAGTGGATTACACAGGCTAGACTGCAGATCAGCAATCCAACTAAAAGGACTGCAGAATAGGTTAGAGTTTACTGTAGTGTGGTCAGGACATTAAGAGTGTAAGCTCACATGGTATAGGGACCGATGTGAATGGCTCAGTGTTCTGAGTGCAGCACTGGCAAATATGTCAGAACCCAATCCATGGGTTGGACATTTTTCTGGAGGTGCTGGGAATCAACATGTACATAGAAGCTGCACACTAAACGTGCTCCGTAGAGGCATCGGAATTTGCACAGCATCCAGCAGGGGGAGCTCCTCCTTCAAAGATTCCAGATCAAATCTTACCTCACAGTCTTATCGTCAGCTGCAGAGAGGATCTGTCTATCATCGTTATACCACAAAGCCTTCTTAATAGCAGATGTGTGACCCCCAATTTGCTCTGGATCTATGGGGAGAAAAAAAAAAAAAAAAGTCAAAAAAGTTCAGCTAGAGAATTAGAAATGTCCCAGCATATTGCCATATGGAACTTCAATGGGTGCTTAAGTGGCCAACAGATGGCGCAGCAAAACCAGAATATGGTTATCAGCACACCGGGGGCCACATTATCAAAATGTCCTTTTATTTGAATTTTAGATAAACATGGTGTCACAGATAATGGCGACATTTCGGAATGTGATATCACATTGCTTTGCCTGATGAAGCTACCATATAGGGTTCCCAAATGTTGCTATTATCTGTGACACTATGTTTATCTGAACGTCAATAGAGGACGGATTGATAAGGTGGACCCGGTGTGCAGGTGACCTTATGGTTTCAGCCGCATCTCGATTCCCTTTAAAACACAAGGTGATTACAAAGACTTGCAACACTTTCTGTACACCGTGGTAAGATGGCCATACACCTATAGATTATCTGCAGATTTTCTATGGTCAGATGGAAAAAAAAGTGCAACAGATTCCTCTATCTAAACTGTGTGGATGGAGGAATCTCCCGCTGGGCCAAGCTTCAGCATCTTGCTAGTCGGCTTCGCTGGCTCCTAATATACCTGAACAATCTGATTGGATGCAGGCATTGTTCATGTATTTTGACAGCCAGCAGGGCTGACTAGCAAGATACTGAAGCTTGCCCCAGTGGTGGATTCCTCCATCCACAGTTTAGTGTAGATGGAGGAATCTGTTGCACTTCTTTCATCTGACCATAGAAAATCTATAGGTGTAGGGCCAGCTTTAGACACTTGTTTGCCTGAAGGGACCTATACGGTTCCGAAACGTCGCTATACGATGTGAAAATGATTTGGTCAATAAAGAACATTGACTGAAATACTTATTGGAGGGCAAGTGGCTTTTCTACCATGTGATACTGATCTGCAGAGGCATCTGCTGTCATCTCAGCACCCACCCATTATCTCAGGTTATACCCGTTCAGGAGTGCGATGTACTTGAATTACATTTTAGAGACAGAGAAAAATATTTTTAGAGAGCAATGGACAAATTTATTGGAGACACGAAGATTGGAGCTGCCGTCCACCACCTTCCCCACAACACAACAAAATGGAGAAAGGAGGTATACCCCCAGATCACACCTACCGGCTTCTGGCTTGGCAAGGTCATAGATACGCAATATCTTGTCCTGTCCAGCTGTCAGAAGACAATTGCCGTCCTGTAATAGAAGGCATTAGATTGTAAGCTGTGGCCAAC